CTTGTCTCTACTAAAAATAGAAACAAATTAATTGGCCAACTAAAAATATATAGAAAAAATTAGCCAGGCATGGTGGCACATGCCTGTAGTCCCTGCTAATCGGGAGGCTGAGGCAGAAGGATCGCTTGGGGCCCAGGAGTTTGAGGTTGCTGTGAGTTAGGCTGATGCCAAGCACTGTAGCCAGGGTGACAGAGTGAGACTCTGTCTCAAAAAAAAGGAAGGGAGGGGAGGGAGGGGAGGGGAGGGAGGAGAGGAGGAAGGGGAGGGAGAGGAGGAGGAAGGAAGGAAAGGGAAGGGAAGGAAGGAAGGGAAGGGAAGGGAAGGGAGGAAGAAGAAGAAGGAAGAGAAACAGCTGTTATAGGTTCAAAGACTCTCACCACAGATAATCTGTGTGATTACAAAGGGGAAAATTGTATCTCTGCAGCAGAGAAATCTGCAGACACCACCTGCACAGAGTGGCCAGAGCTCACGTCACAGTGACGGACAAGGTGGCATCACAAGCTCCTGACGTGAGCACTGAGGAGGGCACAGGTCACCTGTGTGCAGTTCCCTGGGAAAACGCACCGACTGACTGGAGGCAGGCTGCGATTCAAACACAGGAACAGACTGAAGGTGGTGAGGGATGGAAAAAGACGTATCACAGCAGCAACCGTGAGAAAGCTTAAGAGCCCCATCTGGTGGCCGGGCGCGTGGCTCACGCCTGTAATCCTAGCTCTCTGGTGAGGCCGAGGCGGAAGGATCGCTCAGGTCAGGAGTTCAAGACCAGTCTGAGCAAGAGAAGACTCCATCTCTACTATAAATAGAAAGCAATTAATTGGCCATAAAATATGTAGAAAAAATTAGCCAGGCCATGGGTGGCGCATGCCTGTAGTCCCAGCTACTTGGGAGGCTAAGGCAGAAGGATTGCTTGAGCCTAAGGGTTTGAAGTTGCTGTGAGCTAGGCTGACGCCACAACACTCTAGCCCAGGCAATAGAGTGAGACTGTATCTCAAAACAAACAAACAAACAAAAATTTAAAAATTATCCTCCTTCTTGCAACGCTCAAGGGACCATGGCCAATCCTTGCTGTGAGGCAGATCAAGATCAAGACCAGCGTGGTGAAACGACTAGTCAAAGAAAAAGTGATGAGTCCTCTCCCGGAAGGGAAGGGAAGGGAAGGGAAGGGAAGGGAAGGGAAGGGAAGAAGGAAGAGAAACAGCTGTTTATAGGTTCAAAGACTCTCACCACAGATAATCTGTGGATTACAAAGGGGAAAATTGTATCTCTGCAGCAGAGAGATCTGCAGACACCACCTGCACAGAGTGGCCAGAGCTCACGTCACAGTGACGGACAAGGTGGCGTCACAAGCCTCCTGACGTGAGGCACTGAGGAGGGCACAGGTCACCTGTGTGCAGTTCCCTGGGAAAAACGCACAGCCTGACTGGAGGCAGGCTGCGATTCAAACACAGGAACAGACTGAAGGTGGAGGGATGGAAAAAGACGTATCACAGCAGCAACCGTGAGAAAGCTTAAGAGCCGCACTGGCCGGGCGCGGTGGCTCACGCCTGTAATCCTAGCTCTCTGGGAGGCCGAGGCGGAAGGATCGCTCAAGGTCAGGAGTTCAAGACCAGTCTGAGCAAGAGCAAGACTCCATCTCTACTATAAATAGAAAGCAATTAATTGGCCAATTAAAAATATGTAGAAAAAATTAGCCAGGCATGGTGGCGCATGCCTGTAGTCCCAGCTACTTGGGAGGCTAAGGCAGAAGGATTGCTTGAGCCTAAGGGTTTGAAGTTGCTGTGAGCTAGGCTGACGCCACAACACTCTAGCCCAGGCAATAGAGTGAGACTGTATCTCAAAACAAACAAACATAATGCTTAAGTTGGGGCTCTAAAAAGAAACAAACAAACAAACAAACAAACAAACAAACAAAAATTTAAAAATTATCCTCCTTCTTGCAACGCTCAAGGGACCATGGCCAATCCTTGCGTGAGGCAGATCAAGATCAAGACCAGCGTGGTGAAACGACTAGTCAAAGAAAAAGTGATGTATGAAAAAGAAGCAAAACAAGAAGAAAAGACTGAAAAAATGAGCGCTGCAGATGGTGAAAATTATGCCGTTAAAAAGCAGGCAGAGTTCCTGCAAGAGTCCCGGATGATGATCCCAGATTGCCAGCGCAGACTGGAAGCTGCACATACTGATCTTCAGCAGATGTTAGAAAGTGAAAAAGACTTGGAAGAAGCTGAGGAATATAAAGAAGCACATTTAGTACTGGATTCAATGAAGTTAGAAGCCTTAAACTTTTCTGTATAGGGTGTTTTTAGCATAAAATCCTGGAGTCCATTCTACAATTCATTATTTTTGACCACTGCTGTGTTCAAGTAGTATGAGAATGTGATTCTTTATATTTTTCCTTGCCTAAGTTAATGTGGCAAATAAATGAGTTCACCTAATAAAACTGTTTATTTCATACCTTAAAAAAAAATTTTAAAAATTAGCCGGGCATGGTGGCACCTGTAGTCCCAGCTACTCGGGAGGCTGAGGCAGGAGGATCGCTATAGCCCAGGAGTTCAAGGCTGCAGTGAGCTATGACTGTGCCACTGCACTCTTGCCCAGGTGACAGAGTGAGATCTTGTCTCTAAAAATAATAATAATGATAAAGAACAAGAAGATCTGAACATTACAAACCATGAGACCCAACAGACATCTACAGACCACTCTACCCAGTGGCCCTGACACACTCTTCTCCAGTGCACAGGGACATTCTCTAGGACAGACCAGATTCTAGGCCACAAACAACCAAGACTCCACAAATCTGAAAGGACTCCACAGTAGAACCAAATTAGAAATCAATAACAGAAAGAAATCTGGGACAACTCACAAAAATGTGGAAAATATACAACACACACATAAAGAACCAATAGTCAAAGGAAAAACTCACAAGGAAATCAGAAAATACTTTGAGATGAATGAAAATAAAGATACAATATACCAAAGCACATGGGATGTAGCAAAAGCAGCACTCGGAGGAAAGTCTGCCACTGTAAATGCCTATGTCAATTAAAAACACTCAGTCCTAAGATGAGGGACGTTACTGTGCATTCACGTAACCAGCAGGGACGGCACAGCGGGAATGGGAAACTGAAGGTGCAGGCAAGAGGACCAGCGCCGCAGGCCGGCTCCCGGGCACAGACCCTCGCCGAGGGCGCTGGCCTCTGGACAGATGCGGTCCAGCCACGGAGCGGGAGAGAAGGCAGCGCACACGCAGGTGACTTGGGAAGGCCGGTGGGAAGACGATGGGGTTTCCTGATCACTGCTCTTTGGAGCGGGGGGAGGACGGAGATTGCGAGCTGAGAGTGAGGGGGGAAGAGGGGATGCTGGGGCTCTGAGGAGAGAAAATGTGGAACTGCTCTGACAGCAGGGAGTTGATGCGAGAGGCAAGTCGAGGACCATAGGCATGTGCAGGGGCCACTGGGCGTGGGCTTGAGGGGAGGCCCCTCGGGTGGCGTCCCACTGCAGCCACACTGTGTGGCTCGGGCACAGGGGACAGCGTTCCCGACAACGCTGGGCTCCACCCGGAGAGCGCAAGAAGGGAGCACACTGGGGACCTGGGACCACGGAGCCCACGCTGCTCGCGGGCAGAACCCATGAGAAGGACAGGCAAGTACAGCGTAAGAGTGACCGGTGGGCTCAGAGAATCGCTGAGATGGAGGAGGAACCAGCAAAGTCCAGTTGGTCAGGAGGAAACGATGGTGAGAGCACAGAGCTCCTAAAACTCAGGTTCTGGAGCTGGTGCGGTTACAGATCACAAGGCTAGGGCGTGGCCCTGGGAACGTGTGGAAGATGAGCCCCTGCCCTGAGGCCCGGCTGCCAGGGGCCCCCACTCACCCATCGCCTTTTGGCAGTCGAGGATCTTAAAGCCACCGTGCATGCAGGCTGCGAGGAGCAGGTGCTGATGCAAAGGGTGCCACCTGAGCCTCCACACCCCGCCCTGGACCGGTGTGTCTGCACACGGCTGCGTCATGTTCCGAGTGTCCCACAGCAGAACGTGCTCGTCGTAGCTGAAACCGACCAACCCCAGTGGACTTGCAGCAAAGCCCATGCTCGCTCCTTCCCCGAGGCCCCTGGGTGGCAGGGAACACCTTCTGGGGACCCTCCCACTCGTCCCTCGAGATGGAGTCCCTTTCCCGAGCCCAGACGCCTACACTCCCGTCTGAGAGCTGGCCAGACCAGACACTGATGGTCCCGTGAGGAGGGGACGTGAAGGACGCGAGAGGGACCTGTGCCCGCTCTGGCGGACTCACCTCCCAGTGGCCAGGACGTGCTCCCGGTGGGGGCTGCTCTGGATGCTGCACACGCCCATGGAGTGTCTGCAAGGCAAGGGCGGCGCCTGAGCAAGGGCTGGCAGCGAGGCTCGTGCCGGGAGAGGCCCACGGAGGAGGAGCGGGGCGGCCAGTGCTGGTGCCGCGTCGGACCGGGCCAGTTACCTCTCGCTGGTGAACAGAGGCTCGCCAGGTGCCCTGGTGTCCCAGCCCTTCAGAAGGCCATCATCCCCCCCTGCGTGGAAACAGAGACGCTGTCAACAACGGGAGTGACAACAGGAAATGGCCATTTCTCAGCAAGCCGAGTTATCTGTCAGGCAGTCTCCTCAGGTGACTTTCCTAGGTGGCTTCAGGTTGCCACTGAACATGAGGGCCCAGAAACACCACCAGGACAGTCACACGTGCCTAGACTTGAAGCAGGGCCTGCACAGAGAAGGGAAATGTCAACGGGCTCCACCTATAGGAATAAAAGGGAACAACTGGAAATTGCAGGGGCATTTAGTCCCATGTGGCCACTGTTCATGACAGTGACTGCCAGGTCACATGTGGCTACACTGCTTCTCTCAGGGCTCCAGCAGCTGCAGCCTGGGTGCCAAGACCCCGGTGGCCATATCAAAGAACCCTGAGCTCGGAGATGAAGGAGCTTCACACGTATGCTTCTCAAGCGCCTGGAAACCGCAGCACAGCACACATGTTTAGGGGGAAATGCTCTGTGTAACCTGATGCTGAAAGACACCCCTGCATGTGTTAGGGGAGCAGAGAGGATGGGAGGAACAGGGGAGCTGGTGCACTGACCCACAGCCATTCTTCCAGGCAGAGCACCACCAAGACTTATGGTGGACGGGGGTGTCCTGAAGGAAGAAGGGCACAAGCTTGGAGCGGGACCCGTGGGGAACGTGAAAGGCCAGAAGGAGAATACAGTGCCAATCACTTCGTCCACCCACCAGGCCCGCCCACCCTGACCCCACTCTGAAGTAGGACAGCATGCACCTGCCCCCAGCTCCCCCGACCCTCCACATTCCTTCTTTCCAAAGCACTTATCACCTCTGACCCGCTCTGCGACCCTATTCACTGCACGGCAAGCTTTTGTCCACTGCCCTCCCCACCCAATGCACGAGCAATAGAAGAGCCTTCTGCCTATCGGTTCACTGTGTCCCGGTCATCAGAATGGGTTTCCGGTGAAAATAACACAGGGTCTTATATTTATTTTTCCTCAAGAAAACACCCTAGGGCTTATTTTCAGGGGATGTGTTATTTTTCTCCTCAAAGTCTCAGCTTGCAGCACGCACAGGATGGCTGGGACCTGACAGGGGAAGCTGACCTTGTTGGTGGGGCTGCCTGCACCCTTCCGGTCACCTCTGGGATAGTAGCTGTCACGATGGGGGTGAAATGTGCGGGTTGTACAGATACGCTGCATAGCCATGCCCCTCACTCGGTCTTATTTTCGGAGTAGGGCTTATATTGCACAAATGCTTAGAAATCCTGCTAGGGCTTACTTTATGGGTAGGTCTTATTTTTGGGGAAACATAGTAGTAAGTGCTCAGTGAGCATGGATGAATAGATGAGTCCTGAATTACTACATTGTTGCCCCACCACAGTCCGGCTGAAAATAAGCCCCAAGGTAGGAGAACTAACCCAACAATGAGAGACTACAAAAGATAAAATCGTTGTGGTTCTTGCTGAGCCTATTCCAGGGTGTGACAGCAAACGAAACAGACAGGGACCCTGGGACCCTGCCCTTGGGGACGGAGCAGCCTTAAGCACCCATCTTCACCAGGAAGGGCTGGAGGTGCCACAAGAAGGACGACAGAGGACCAGGTGTGCCTGGCTGCCAAGGGCAGGTGTCCTATGCCAGCCCGACGGCTTTAAGCTAAGCATGCCAGGAAAGCAGAGCCTGTGCAGGAAACACGGGGACCAGAAAGAACACAGAACATGAGGAGAAGAAGGTTGCGAGCAAAGAGTCGTCATGCAGGTTGGGGCTCGAAAGGTAGGTCCCAACCTCACAAGTGTTTTAGATTTTTATCCTAAAAGAAATAGGAGCATGAGGCGCTGACAGTCAGGTGCGACTGAGTTTGCGTGTTTTAAACGATGGCTCTGGCTGCTGTGTGGGGCCTGGACAGGGAGGGCCGGGCACGAAAGCAGGGCCACACTGTCCCCTGCTGTGCCCAGCCAGCCGAGACAGCGGTGGCTGCCACGGGGGCAGCACAAGCGGCCAGTTCCAAGACACCCGAGGACAAACCAGTGCCCACGAGGGCAGGGCACACAAGTGTCCATGAGGACGGCGGGCTTCTGAGCCGCACACACAGGCATGCCTGCGACAGGGAACTCGGGACAGGGCGGGGTCTGCGGCAGGGGTGGCGCAGAGGGTACGAGTGCAGGTCTCATGTCCTGGAGCACGAGGGCCCCAGGACATCCCGGCACAGGTGACGGGCAGCTAGCAAGACAAATGGGCCTACGGCTCAGAGAAAAGGCCTGGGTTAAACAGGCGAAACTCGGCTGCCTCTGGACTAGAGACAGGGACTGCAGGCCGGAGAGTCACAACGTCATGTGAGGAGACGGACACGCGTGAAGAGGGAGAAGAGCCAGCGAAGTGGAACAGAGTGCCGATTGGAGCCGCCCGGAGCGCGTGGTCCCATGGCGCCCAGGACGGAGGGGCGAGGCTCGCTGGACCACCCCCTCACCGGGCCCGGCAAGAGCGGTTTTGACAGAGGGGCTGTGGGCGTGGGCTCAGGTGGTTTTCTGACGGTCCAGCGGAACATTTCTGACCTCACCTCCCGCCCGAGTCTGGCCCACGACCGCCAATCAGGCAGAGCGGGAAAGAAGGGGCCAGATCTTTTCTTTGGCTCTCTGCAAATTCAGTTCCTCCTCCTGTCTTCTCAGAGACCGACCCCCCCACTTCCGTGAGTGAGCTCCACCCAGGAAAGAGAAGCTGACCAAAGCTATCCCATTCCTGGGCCCTCTGTCTCCCACACCAGCACCCCAAAATACCAGCCAAGACCAGGAAAGCAATCTTATTTCTCTCACGTTTCCTCTTTTTTCGGAAGACAAACTACATCCCAAAAGGGAGCAGGCAAACCTGAAATCCAACACTGCATTTGTAGGTATCAGGCAAACAGCACGGAAGCCGATTCCTGAGCCCACGTGCAGAGCACGTGACACTGAGGGCACCGCAGAGGCAGGACGGCTCTGCCCCCTCCCCGTCCCCCCAACACGGCCAGCACCACCCAGGGCCCCACCGCCAGAGCACGCCTGCGCTTTGCTTTCTGAGGAATAGCTAAGTGATGAGTGCCAGCTGCAGCTCTCGTCCCAGAAGATACATTCTCCACGGAAGGTCCCAGCAGGGCCAGGCCCCAGCCTGGGCAGGTGCCCCACTCCCCGCCCTCCCGCGCCCCGTCTCCACTGGAGAGGCCCCTGTGTCGGCTGGGGGTGTGGGGAGCACTGACCTGAATACACGATCTCTGTCTGCCAGTAGTTAAAAGCGGCAATCCAGGCCTCAAAGTGATGCGCCTGCCACGAGACCACCTTCTGCAGTCTGGGCTCCTCCTCGCTCACGGCCAGCAGGTGAAGCTGCCCCCTGGAGTCACTGCTGATGATTTTCCAGGGACGGCTGCTGGCCCTAGACACAGGAACCGACAGGGAAGGCCAGCTGCACTTCATTCGTCCACCTCCTCCAGGGTCGAGCCCTGCCCCAGGAAAGGTCTCCACAGACATGGAATGCGGACCTGCCTCCTAAGGGACCTGCCCAGGCATTTGGCAAAGGCCAAAACTACCACTCAGCTCGTCAAGGAACCCAGAGTTAACTTATCATGATAAAAATACTATTACCATTTATCTAAAATGCTGGAAATTTTTTTTATAAGATTAGGGTTAGGAGTGATATTCCCAGGTCTAGGGAGCACAATCAAGGCTAACAAGCTGGGCGTGATGCTCTCACTTGTAGTCCCAGCACCTCAGGTGGCCAAGGCAGGAGGGTCGCTTGAGCCTAGGAGTTCAAGACCAGCCTGGGCAATACAGTGAGACCCCAACTCTAGAGAAGTGGAAAAAAAAAATTAGATGATTGAGGTGGCAGTGCCTGTAGTCCCAGCTGTTGGGGAGGCTGAGATAGGAGGATCACTGGAGCCCAGGAGTACATGGCTGCAGTGAGCTACAGTGATGCCACTGTGCTGCACCCTGGATGACAGAGAGAGCAAGACTGTTTCTTTAAAAGAGAAAAAAAAAAAGTCCAATAGAAGGTGGCTTTAATGCTCTGTAGCTGCAGTCCCCAACCCTGGTTCAAGGACTGGGCTCTAGAGTACTGCTCATCCCCTCCCACCCCCACCCTCCTCCGAAATGTCTTCCATGAAACTTAGGAAACAGGGATGGGAGTCGCACAGCAGGAGCCAAGCGGAGCTTCATCTGTATTTACAGCCACTCCCTATCGCTCACCTGACCCCGCCCATGGAAAGATTGTCTCCCTGGTGCCAAAAAGGCTGGGGACCCCTGCTCTATAGCATGAAACCAATTGATCCTCAGAAGAAAGACTCAGGGCACCTGACCAAGCCTGGCCCTCACCTTCCAGTTTTCCCAGTGGACCAATCCAGGGACAAAGCCAGACAATTCTCCTCCAGGGCCAGGCTGGATAATGGCTGTAGTTTGAACCTGCTCTCCTACTGGAAAGAAAGGAACTCTGTCAAAACGAAACAGCCCCAGGCCGGGCAAGGTGGCTCACGCCTAGAATCCCAGCACTCTGGGAGGCTGAGGCAGGAGGATCACTTGAGGCCAGGAGTTCAAGACCAACCTGGACAACATAGTGAGACCCCATCTCTGGGGGGACAAAAAAGGGGAAACAGCCCCAGAACCCCAAGAAGATTTTTCCGCTTATTCAGGTAAGTCATGGTTCCCTCAGTTGCTTGCTACATGAACGCAGAGCATCAGTCACTGATTTACATGTTCACCTGACGTCCCCTGCCCTGTGCACTGAGAAGGACCCGAGGACACTAGAGGTCACTCACCTGCAGGACCCCCCCACGGCAGTGAGGCAGGAAGACCCTGCCCCTCACACCCACTCACTGACCATGCACTCCTAGAGCTACCAGGATGCCCGGGCGGGCCCCAGCCCACCGAGGCACATTCTTCATCACGCTGGGCCTGCAGGAATGCTGGCAACTTGTCTCCAGAGACAGCAACAATGCGGACTTTCCTCTAGTTTTCATTGCAGAAGGTACAACTAGCTATTCAAACATTTTTTCCCTTTTCTCAGATCTATGTAAAGGTAACTACCTCAACAACCTGGCCAGTGCTTAATTCCATCGATAGGCTCCCAGCAGGCTGCCGCATCAGTCCTTTCTTGAGTTCATGTGCTCCTGCCTCGAAACCTGCTCCTTGGGCCCACTGTCTCGCTTAGTCAATTCCTTCCCTCATGTCTAAGACAGGGTGGCTGCTCTGAACTGGCCGGGAGCAAGGCCCTCAACTGCCATGAATCAAAGACCAGCTAGACCAATGCTCCAGCCCCACTCGCAGCACCTACACCTAGTGTGCGTCCCCTCCTCCCTCCCTCCCAGAGTTAGGGCATGGCCTCGTGGGCTATTTACATCACTCCACTATCTGACAACCTGCTCCCCCTCCCCCACAACAGGTGGAGTCACTTTGCAAGTGCATGGTACAGGATCACTGTAGACACTTGAAAAATTCATATACGAATCATGTGCTTTCCTAATAATCAACAAGAATTAGCATTTTCACATAAGAAATGCATTGCTATTCTTAGCCCTGCCATCAACCCAAGACCTGCTTGTCCAGGCTTTCCTTAGAGAACTCTCAGACTCACTGACAGGTGAATGAACAGCCTGTCACTTCAGCCCTCTGCTGGTGACACGTGAGATGACCTCCTCTTAGAGATAGATGTAGAACCCAAAACCATTTAAAATAGACTCCATGCTATTTTAGAATATTTATGTATAGCTCACCATTAAAAAGAGATCATTCAAGAAAAACATCTGTACCAGCAAAGCCTCCCTCCCTAACTCTTTCAAGTCCCTACCATCCCACAGAGCCTGGCCCCTGTCACTGACCTCAGATCCCACCAGGTGGAACAGCTCTATGGATCCACTGGCATTTGCCATGCCCAACAGGACTTGGCCAGCCACCGGAACGTGGCACCTATGGAGAGAACCCACACGTCAGACCACAGGACGTGCCCAAAGCACAGGAGAGCATTAGGCCTCCCAGAAATTTATTACAGTCATGTGTCACTTAACAGGGATACATTCTAAGAAAAGCATCTATAGGTGATTTTGTCATTTGGGGAACATCATAGAAGGTACTTACACAAAGCCAGGTGGTATAGCCTACTACACACCTGGGCTTTATGGTATAGCCCAGGCGTCCTCAAACTAAGGCCCGCGGTCCATGTGCTGCCTGCCTAGGACATTTATCCGGCCCACCAGGTATTTTTGCTGCCGCTGCCTGTCCTGCTTAGTAGCCGACTTGTCCTGGGCCCACAATGCGCACTCTCCAACAGTCTGAGGGACAGTGAACTGGCCCCTTGTTTAAAAAGTTTGAGGACCCCTGGTATAGCCTATTACTCTTAGGCTACAAACCTGTACGGCATGTGACCGTACTGGGTACTGTAGGCAACTGTAACACAGTGGTAAGTATTTGTGCATCTAAACCCATCTAAACATATAAAAGTTATGATAAGGATATAGTATGAAAGGTTTTTAAGGGCCAGGCACCGTGGCTCACGCCAGTAATCTAGCACTCTGGGAGGCCAAGGCGAGAGGATCGTTCAAGGTCAGGAGTTTGAAACCTGCCTGAGCAAGAGCGAGACCCCGTCTCTACTAAAAATAGAAAGAAAATAACTGGCCAACTAAAAATATAGAAAAAATTAGCCGGGCATAGTGGCGCATGCCTGTAGTCCCAGCTACTTGGGAGGCTGAGGCAGAAGGATCACTTGAGCCCAGGAGTTTGAGGTTGCTCTGAGCTAGGCTGCCGCCATGGCACTCACTCTAGCCCAGGAAACAGAGTGAGACTCTGTCTCAAAAAAAAAAATAAAGATTTTTAAAAAGGCATACCTGTATAGGGCAGCTCCGTTATAATCTTATGGGACCATTGAATATACGGTCTGTCGTTGAATGAAATTGCATTTAGATTTCAGCTCCAAAACCGGGTTAGAGCCTATAATTTTGTTCCTAAACAAAAGATTCTGCAGCTTACAAAATCAGAACTTGCATCACTTCCCAGACTGATGCTAAGTCGAGGGCTAGGAAAAATAACAAAGGAAATGAGCCCCAAGTAAAGCACTCTCCAAGTGCCAACAGGTGGGTAGGAGAGTAAATAAATAAACCCAAAGCCCAGATGTTTCTCTATCTTGTCGAAGGCTATTAGGCATTGGCTTCCCCTGATTAAGTGATTAGATACTCATGACAAATAGATACTCAGACTAAGTGGGGTTATCAAAGTTATACCATTTCATGTCCAGGATAGCAGAAGTATCTTTTCTTTGGACCTCAACCAGAGGCTGAGTGGAGTTGTCATTTAAACTGTACAGGTAGAGCCGACCTAAACGGATTTGAGGTTCATCAGGGTCCAGTCCACTCTACAAAAAACGCAGACATATTTTCTGATTACCCTAAGGTACTGAGGGGCCCACGGGATGGGAGGATCCAGGGAAGGATTTAAAGGTTTGCCAGAGTGGAACTCTGCCTGGATGCAGAACCTCTGATTTTCTGAGCTACAGAAGTGTCTCTTTTCTTTAATCACAGTTTTAAAGAGTAGGTGAGCTCTACTGGACCCAGTAAAGAGGGCTCATCTGAAGCGGCCAAAGGATATCAGACATGGCTAGAGTAACCAAGGAACCCAGTTTATCAGGGGCAGTCCTGTTGTTCCAGTGACCTCCCTTTTAAGGTGTCCCGGTTTGTATCCTTAGGGGTGCCTTCCAGAGGTTAGATAACAATTCCCAAGAAACCCCATTTTCTCTGTAGTATAGATTTCATCCATAAACCTGTATACAGAGGACGTTTTGCTCTCAAGACTCTAAAATGTTTCTAACCTACGTCTTGGCCAAAGGCTAATGACCCTTCTTCACCTCCTGGGTGACTCTACACACGACACTTCTTCCTCCCGGCCTCCCCCGTTGCAGACCAGAGAGGTCTCAACGTGTGCAGCCGGCTCCATCTTCTGGAGACAGCAGCTCGACCCCGAGCCGAGAGCCGCGCACCTGGCTCTGGGCGCCGAGCCCGCCGTCCGGCTTCCGCAGCTGGTAGGTGCCGCACGCCAGCAGGTGCCTGCGGCCGTCCAGCGGGCACCACTCCACCGAGTCGGCGGTGAGCTCGGTGTCCACCGCCTGCACCATCCGGGCGCCCGCGCCCGTCATCCGGCCTTCGGGGGACGCCGACTCCGGGCGACAGAAGCAGGTTGCGAGGCTGGAGACCAGCGTGGCGAGAGCAGAAGTGTGAGGGTCAGCCTGAGCACCTTCTCTCGCAGCCGCCTCTTCTGATTCATTCCGGGGCGCGGGGCGGGACTTCCGGCCGGGAGCTGGCGGCCGCGCCCCCTGCCGGCCGGCGGACCGCGGCGACGCACCTGCCGGGAGCGGGGCGAACCGCGGAGGCGCACCTGCAAGGGCCGGAACGGGGCACCTACGGGGGGGGGGGGGGGGGGTGAGCGAGGCAGGGCGAACCGCGGCCACCTGCTAGGAGCAGGGCAAGGACCCGTGATCACTCGTGATCACTCCTGGGGGCTGAAGCCTTCGCGAAAACCCGCTACCCTACGGAAAAGATTGGGGAAGGCAAGTTTTGGACACTTACAGATTGACCTGTGTCCCTCCCAGAAAAATATTAAGTCCTAACCCCCCAGGACCACAGAAGGGGACCTTTGGAAAGAGGGTCTTTACAGAAATAATCAAGTTAACATGAGGTGTTAGGGTGGGCTTCAATCTAGAACAAATGGGGTCCTCACAAAATGGAAATCTGGACACATGCAGACCAACCTGCAGAGAGAAGCAGCTGATGAGAGGAGTACCTGACGACGGGGGTGCATGTCGTCATGAAGCCCTCAGGAACCAGGTAACTACAGTCAGGGAACACCTGATACACAGCTACAAAAACCTGAGGTCAGGGGCATTGGGAGGGGAAGGGCAGCCAGGGTATCATAGAAGAGGCCAGGGAAGCCACGGGAATAGAGGCCACCATGGATCCCACCTCACCTTCAAGGGGACATCTGTGCCAGGAGGCATGGTGAACCCCGAAAAAAGGAAGGAGCCCCAAAGGGCAAATCTCAGACCTGCACACTACCTTCCTCAGCCCAGTCACTTTGGGCACCTGTCTTTCAACGCAATTTTCCAAAGACCCTCTGCAGAACGAGGTAGCCCTTGCTGGTCAGCAGACTTGGACAGGATCAAGTGCCAATGTGTCCACTCCCCTGGGGATATAGGGGACAGCCTGCACTGTGTGCCTCATCCCCAAGCTTGTTTGAACGAAGATCACCTGAGGGAACTCAAGGCCCCTTGCCCTCAGACTGCCCAGAATCCCAACATGCCAACCTACCTGAGATCTCCATCCAAACAGTCCTGGCCACAGCTAGACTCTGGAAGAAGGAAAATTACCCCAGCCCTGGGAACGTCCTCAGAACTTGAGCCAACTGCTATCTACAGGAACCACTATCTCTTAGGAAATACATATTCTCCCCTTTCCTGATGGCTTTCACCTACCCAGCAAAAACCATCCCTGACCCTCACAGCAGCAAAGGGTGGCTTCTTAGTGCAAGCTCAATATAGGCACATGGAGTTCTCTAAGCTCCAGAAAACCCTTCAGGGGATGGCAAACAGACGTTGCTGTCACCTGTTTTTAGCATCCTGTTTTTCAGTGCCCCAGGGCACTGCAAGAGAAGCTACTGGAGCCCAGCATGGTGGCTCATGCCTGTAATCCTAGCACTCTGGGAGGCCGAGGCAGGCGAATTGCTTGAGGTCAGGAGTTCGAAACCAGCCTGAGCTAAACCCCATCTCTACTAAAAATAGACAAAGAAATTAATTGACCAACTAAATATATATATATACAAAAAATTAGCTGGGCATGGTGGCGCATGCCTGTAATTCCAGCTACTCGGGAGGCTGGGGCAGTAGGATTGCTTGAGCCCAGGAGATTGAGGTTGCCGTGAGCTAGGCTGATGCCATGACACTCAGTCTAGCCTGGGCAACAAAGTGAGATTCTGTCTCAAAAAAAGAAAAGAAGCTACTGCTAACTCTGCTTACAGACCAAAGGCCACCAGAGGGCTATGCCTAGCCAGGGCAGCAATGAGTATACACAAGGCATCCTGGTATGTGGCAGAGAAGCTGCAAGAGGGAAAAGCGTGGCAGGAGCCTGCAGGACCAAGACAGGGCCAGGCTGCCCTACGCCTGACAGGTCAGAGTTGGAATGGCCAGACTTCCTGCTCCCAGGAAGTAAAGCCTCTGGGCAGGATGGCTGGTTAGACCTCAAGACAGGGAAGACACCAGCCACATAGCCTGACCTGTTTCTCCAGGGTGGCTCTCCACAGACAAGATGATTCCCCAAAGGGAGGGTTATCCTGGCCGCCCAGCACCCTCCCCCAATCTGCTCCAACTAACAGGTAGTACAGCAGCAGGCTGGCTGGGCAGACAAAAGATGGGACAGAGGCAGCACTGGGCAGCAGCTCTCACTGTGGAGCCCCAGCCACTCATGTATAAATCACAGTGAGATTCACCAATGTTGGAGCCTAGCGCATTACACACTCAGTAACACAGTGGCCACCCTCCTTGAACACCTCCAGCACTCAGTCCTCCTGCAGGACAAGAATGGGCCTGGGTCTCATACATGCTCCTGGGCCAGACTCTAGAAAGGTCTGAGCATACTGTGCTCCTCAGAAGAGCTGGCAGACAGTTAGGACAGTCCTCTCAACCCAGATCCACCCTGAATCCCTGATTCTACTCAAAAGTAATCTCACCCTAGACCAGGTACAGTGGCTCACACCTGTAATCTTAGCACTCTGGGAGGCTGAGGGGAGAGGATTGCTCAAGGTCAAGAGTTTGAAACCAGCCTGAGCAAGAGCGAGACCCCATCTCTACTAAAAATAGAAATTAATTGGCCAAGTAAAAATATATATAGAAAAATTAGCCGGGCATGGTGGCGCATGCCTGTAGCTGTAGCCCCAGCTACTCAGGAGGCTGAGGCAGAGGGATTGCTTGAGCCTAGGGGTTTGAGGTTGCTGTGAGCTAGGCTGACACCACGGCACTCTAGTGCCAGCAAGAGTGAGACTCTGTCTCAAAAACAAAAACAAAAAAAAACAACAAAAAAGAAAGTAATCTCACCCTAAGCAGCAGAGGGAGTGAAGCAGAGCGCAGAGAACGGCGGAGACGCGAGATGATTCCACCCCTTTACTCTGACCCTTTGGACACAACTCCCATGCAGGCCGTGCTCCATGGGGATCCCGACACCCAGGAGGAAGCTTTGGCTACATGACAGTTTTCAGACATGTGGCCCGTTTGCCATTTGAGGATTACAGCAAATGATTCTATTGGTAATTTCTACCCCTCCCGCTGCCTCCCCCCCACCAAAAAAAAACTGTACATGAGTTTACAAACATATTAACATATAAATAATGAGAAACGTCCTGGCGGGAGCCTCCCCAGTTGTCTCTGCTGGAGATTAACACTGGTGCGGGTGCTGTCCCGCAAACTGTGCGTGACATCGGGAGTCTCATGGTGGCTGTTCTGGGCCAGCAGCTGGCTTTTCTCATGCCTCTAGGTTCAACCACCAGTAGTCTGTCTGCTGTGCCCAAGGAAGAGCCCAGAGCCGCGAGCATGAGGCAGTAGCTCCATTGCCAGTCATCGCTCCGGCTCAAGCTCGTGCTGGAAGGGACGCTTCCTCTCCCGACAGTGCTTCTTGTGGGCCGGCCAGTCTTTCTGCTGGCACTGGGAACCGCAGTATCGGGCCACCTGGCAGCGCCCACAGATGTTGAACTCTCGTAGCTGAAACACAGAGCACCGTGGCCTCACTGTCTCACCTGGGAAGCCATATGGGTGGAAGCTACATCCTGGAATCTGGAAAGACCTGGCAAAACTCCAGGGACTGAGGCTGAAGGACCTGGGCCCTGGTTAGGCCAACTCAACAGCAAAAGGAGAGCTGCTTAGGGGATAGGGGCAGCCAGTGGTCTGCTGGGACGAGCTCCGCAAGGAGGGGGACGGGACCCAAACCAAGGCAAGCCTCAGAGTGAAGGTGGCCACACCTTACGGCAGCACACCTACCTGCTTCTCGATCACTGTGCAAGGTGGGTAATGGCACTCGTAGTAGGTGCAGGAATTCTCCTCCTCTTCCACCACGTCCCCATTGGCGTTATAGTACCGGGTCACATTTAGGACAGGGAACTGCTCTTCTATGGGGTCTGTGGGAAGCTGCTGAATTGCAAGCCAATACAAGCTTTGCTCCCTTAAACAAAGAACCAGACACTTCAGTGCAGTTCAGCCAGAAAGCATCAACACACAGGGAGATGACATCACAAATGGAGATGTCCTCCTGCCCAGGACACCCCATCCGAATTTTCATTATAGCAACTTGATTTTTCTCAGGGTCACCCCTACTGCATGTGCTTATCACTATGTGACATTAAACACTCTGTATGTTTTGTCTCCCACTAACACAGAAGCACTGCCACAGCTGTCACACTCTCCCCGATACCTGGGACTGATGAGCACATGGGAGTCATAGGCCCAGCCACTCAGGACCCTGGGCAAGACCAGTTATTCCCTCTCCTGCCCTGGACCCTCAGAGGTGCCCACTACTGCTCCCTTCCCCCTCCCAGTCCCCTTCCCCTTCCACGATGTAAGCTGCCCTATGTCCTTCCAAAAACTCTTTAGTGGGCCAAATGCTTGCAACTGAAGATTCCCACCAAGAACTGAGGTCAGAAAGCATGTGCTGCATGTGGCAGGTGGAAGGCCCACACGGAAGGAGCAGAGCAGCTGCTAAGTGACCCTCCACCCAGCCCATTCTCAATGGAAGCCAGATCCTGGGGGACGTGACTAAAAAGGGGAAGGGGCAGGATGGGGAAGATACAGCTGCTCTCCGAGCCCTTTGGTGAAGTCCTGAGAGACAGAAGCAAGTTTCAGACGCAGCCAGCTTTTGAATGCAGAATGGGAAGAATATACACCTTTGCCAAGAGGCCACTTTAGTCAGTGGCTGAGCTGACCTTGTGGCCTCACACTGACACAGTGCCAGTAAAGCAGAAAGCTCAGGTCTGGGAAAATCCTGTATCCTACTCCAGATGTGACAAAGACCCCACCATAAAGAGCCAGCCCATGTGGAGCCCACAAGCCAAGAACCAGGACACATAGCACCTGGCCAGCTGGGACTTCAGGCCCTTCAAGCTCACCTAGATGGCCATGCCTGATCATCCCTGAGCCAACCTGGGCCCACCTCCACCAGAAGGACTTATCTTGGAGTGGCCATGGAGAACGGGCCATGGAGGGGCAGCTAGGCCAGCTGATCAGGAACATCAGCCCACTGCC